GTCGGTCTCCCCCGGGTGTCGGTCTCCCCCGGGTATCGGTCTCCCCCCGGCTGTCGGTCTCCCCCCGGCTGTCGGTCTCCCCCCGGGTATCGGTCTCCCCCCGGGTATCGATCCCCCTCCAGCGTCGGTGCGCCCAGCGCCCCCCCATCAGGCTACCTGGTGACTTGCAGGTGCTGCAGGGACTTAGAGGCGCGCGCATTTGGGGAGCAGGAACTTGTTCGGGGCTCTGGCTTTGACTTGCGCTAATGACTGCCCTCTGGCCCTGCCAGCCCAGCAGCCCACAGTGGCGTGAACTGTAGAAATCCCTCACCTGGGTCAGCCCGGTGGGAGCGCGCAGGGCCGCCCCGTCTGCTGGTCCCCCTCTGCAGTGGGTGCTCAAAAGAGGCCGCTGCTGACCAGGAGACGGGGACACCCTCGGACGGGACACCCCAGAGGCTGCCAGCCCCACCGGCGCGGCTTGGGTCAGCGGGTGAGGACCCTGCTCCTGACGCCCCTGGGGGCTCACTTCTGGCCAACAGGCCACTTGGCAAGATCATCAACAGCCCGGTTCCCGGGGAGCCAGGCCCTCGGAATTCCTGGGGCAGCGCCCACAGACGGGCAGGGAGGGCACCCCAGCCTCTGTGAGGTCCTTTCACACGTCAGACGCTGCCCCAGACACAACCCGCAGGTTCTGGGTTCAGATCCTGGCACAGCTGACAAGTGAAGTCAGGAGCCAGCCACCCCAACACTTTGGGCTAAAAGTTCCTGGAGTTATGAGTGACCTCACGTGGACGTGGCCCTCTGTCCTGGGCGTCAACAGCACCCACTCCAGGCACTTCCCCTGAAGCACCCCTCTAGGTGGCTGGGCACCATTGCACACCTCGCCCTTTGGCCTGACAGTAACTCTGTCCCCAGCCCTCACCTGGGGTGTGGTACAGTCACCATCACGTGACCAGCCAGCCAGCTCGGCCACAGCCCCAGGAATTGAAGGGAGGTGAGGTGAGGGATTCCGCTTGGGGGGAGCAAGTGCTGCGCTTTCTGTGGAGGCCTTTTTGCTGCTCCTCCAGTCATCCTGGGGGGTGGCTGTCTGCACTGAACTGGTCCTCCAAAGCTCACTTCCTGGGTCGTTTAGGTGTGCTCCACCCCTGGACGATGGCAGACACGGAGCTGGACACCCTGCCTTCCGACACGGCCTCTCTCAGCGACTCCGACTCGGACATCAGTCTGCCGGGCACTGGTGAGGTGGAGGCGCTGTCCCCTGAGGACCTGCGTGGCGAAGCCGAGGAGGATTCGGGCCCCGACGAGCCCCCCTCGTCCCCAGTGGGCCCGCCCCGAGCAGCGGCACAGCCGTTCCACCTGAAAGGCGTGAGCACCCCGTTCTCCCAGCGCAGCCGCGACATCTTCGCCTGCCTCGATGGTGTGGCCCACGCCAGCAGGGGCGACAGTGGGGGCTTCAAGCGGCCTCTGCCCCCCCAGGGCCAGACACCAGGCGAGAGCCAGGCCAGGGCTAGCCAGAGCCCAGGCCCTCAGAAGGTGCCCTCTGTCCCCGACTATGTGACCCACCCCGAGCGCTGGACCAAGTACAGCCTGGAGGACGTGGCCAAAGGCAGCGAGCAGAGCAATCGGGCCGCAGCCCTGGCCTTCCTGGCCTCCCGGAGCCCAGCTGCATCCCCTGACTATGCCCCTTCCTTCAACCAGGACCCCTCCAGCCGCGGGGAGAGGAGGGTCGTTTTCACCAAACCTGCAAAGCTTGGTGAGGCCAGGCCCGAGAGGGGCCTGCGGAGGGCAGGAATGCTGGGCACGGCCGAGGACACAGTGAAGCTGGCCCACCTGGCCTCAAACCCAGAGACTGAGGAGGGTGGTTCCCAGGAGGCCCTGCAGAATGTGGGGGAGCCTGAGGAGGCCCCCGGAGGACTAGCCCTGGATGCTGGGCCGTCTGAGCTGATGGAGAAGGTGGGCTTCCACAGCAGCAAGAAGCGGAGCCGGGACCACTTCCGGACCAAAGGTGACGGGCCTGAAGACCCGGGAGCTGAGGCCTGAGGAGCCGACCATCCGGGGACCTGGGAAAGCTTCCCGGGTGCCTGCAGCCTCTGGACAGGAGGCCTGGTGGGCACATGCGGGAGATGACGAGGCCCATGGGGACAATAAAGGCTTTGGTGCTCATCCAGGCTCTGCGTGTCTCTGTCCCCCAAGGACTCCCAGCTGGTCGGCCAGGAGAGGGCCGCTGGTCGGAGCAGCCATTCCCATCACCCCGTCCACAGGGAGGTGTGCTCCCAAGGTGTGGATGTAGGGGTCCTGCCTCTGCTGACCCCTTCCCCAGCAGGAAGGCAGGATGACCTGGCTGGGGGACTGTCGCCCTGCCGAGGTCTGAAATCACTGCCTGCTTTGGCCCGCTTATCTACCAGCACGTTGGGATCAGGGTTTCGAGCCTGGAGTGTGGGGATGTCTGGGTTGACAAGTGGCCCCAGCAGAGGGGTCTGGAAGTCCTGAGGCCCTCACTGTAGAGGGTGTCAGAAACCTGTCACAAGCTGACGGTCCCAGAGGGAAGAAACAGCAGTACCAGGAGTCAAACAGTCTCTTAGCAGGCGGTATGGGGGCTTAGGAGATCCCAGGTGCTGCCCTAGGCAGTGTGTCCGTCCACGTCCCACAGAACTGACTTCCTGGGAGAAGGGGACATCCAAATAGCCCCACAGGGCTGCGTCCCGCAGAGTGGAGGGGGCTGCCCACCCCTCCCCGGATTCGGACCAGGCAGGCAGGTACAGCTGCAGAGAACACCTGACGCAGACAGGCCCGAGACTCAGGTATCAGAAGGTGGCTTCCCAGCTTCCAGGTGCTCCCCACTGCTGGGGTTCCCTTCATAGTCCACAGAGGGCTGCTGGCCCCCACTGCTGTCACTGCAGTTCTGGGCACCTGGGGGTGGGGGGGTGGGGGAGAAAGTGGCCTGAAGAGCCAGCCTTGGCCCAGCGAGGCCTTTCAGGTGAGGGGACCCAGGCCAAGTGAGGACGCCCCTAGCAGAGGACCAGCCATGTGACGGTGATGGGCCTGAGGAGATGAGCCTCTAGGCCTGGTCAGGTCCAAGGCCACCAAAGGGCATCTGAGGTCGCTGGAGCCAGGGAGCCACAGACCCGCCTCCACATTTCAGGTGCCCACCTCTCCTTAACCCACTTACTCCCCAGACCACGGTCCCTCGCCAGTGTCTTGACCACAGAGGACAGTAGCATCACACAGTTGTTGATCTGGGAAAGAGAAAGATGTCCAGCTGGGCCTTCATGGCAGGAGGGGCCAGCCAGGTGCCTACCGACCCTGTGCCTGCACTCTGGAGGGGCTGTGAGCGAGACCAGGGAGCAGAGGACCGAGGTCAAGCTGAGAATAGAACAGTGCCCAAGGAGGGGAGAGTGCACGCTCGCCAGGGAGCAGACTCCAAGCTGACCAGGATGTGGGAGGAGCCCTCACCTCCACCTTACCTGTGACTCCAGGCCCTTGATGCGCTTCTCCTGCTCTCGCAGCCCACCCAGGCACTTGGCCACCACGTCCACCCTGCAGGAGAGTAGAGGGCAGCCATGACATGGACACCCCAGTGCCCTAAGCTTCCTGTCCCGGCCTCTACTGTCTCAGTGTCACCACACCCAGCATGCAACCTCCTGCTTGAGTACTGGACCCTTGGGGACAGCAAGAGCCAGCAAGATCGTTCCAGAGCTCAGGCTGGCGGGCCCTGTGAGGCCCAACAGGACTAGGGAAGACGTGGAGAAAGGCTGAGAAATAGGGCAGGTGATGGCCCCAGAGACCCCAAAGAAGGACAGCCAAGGCCAGTATTCCCCGCCCCCCCAGGCCAGGCAGCACCCTGCCCACTCTGCCTCACTTTCCCCAGCCTGACTGACAGGCCCAAAGACCACCCCATGCTTGAGGGCTGCTGGACACCCACAGTACAGTGGCTGCATCCTGACAGGTAGTGCCCGCAAGCCCTAGGACCAATGCTCAGTCCCCACCTGTGGGCAGTTTTCTGGGTGGCTGCCCCCTGACCCCCGCTTGTGGGCTGTTTTCTGGGATCCAGCTCTTTTTGGATACTGCCCCCGACCCCTCACCTATGGGCCATTTTCCGGAGTCCTGGCCCCCTGCCCCTCACCTGTGGGCCGTTTTCCAGGGTCCAGGCCCCCTGCCCCTCACCTGTGGGCCGTTTTCCAGGGTCCAGGCCCCCTGCCTCTCACCTGTGGGCCGTTTTCCGGGGTCCAGGCCCCCTGCCCCTCACCTGTGGGCCGTCTTCCGCAGCACCTCCGTGGTGCTCTCTTTCCGCCTCTTCTCCAGGCTGCTCAAAAAGTTCTCCTTCTGAACCGTCTCCCATGTAACGATCTTCTGGTCCAGGGGGTCCGGAAGGTCTTTCTCTGCGGGATGGACCAGCCCCTAGGTCGCCCAGAGCCAGGCACGTCTCAGGGCAAATCGTAGGCCAGGGTTTGGAGGGTGGCCCAAGGGTAAGTGCACAAGTAGTCCCCTCAAGTAGAGGTGGCCCCAACCTGGCAGATCATACACAGCGCCGTGGACGAGGCAGGGGACAGGCATAGAGAAAGCCTAGGTGGCCTCTCACCACGGGCAGCGGCAGCCTGTGACCTGTTCCAACACCAGCTGGGGCACTGAGAGTAACCCTCTCCTCTAAAACCCACTACCAGAGATCCCCACCTTTACCTGTGTTTCCTAACCTCTTGCTCCTCACCCTGTGCCAACCATGTTCCACCCAGTTCTCCAACCACGCCCAGCCACCATCCCTACCTCCCCCCTCGCCCACGTCCTGCCCACACTCAGGTGCAGGTCCTGGAACCCCACCCCCCTCTTTTAGGCCACGCCTCTTAAAGGTCACGCCCCAGGAGACAGCCTTGGCTCCTAGTCCAAGCAGGGCACATCCTCATCCAGGGGCCACTTTCACCCAAAACTGCCCTCTCACAGGCCACCCCTCAGGCTGGTTCCACACCTGTAGCTGTGCTCCATCCTCAGCAGACCCCAACTCTCACCTACATTCCACCTTCACCCAGGCCCCGCCCCTGGGACCCGGCCCCGCCCTCACCTGGGACCCGGCTCCACCCTCACCCAGGCCCCGCCCCTGGTGCCTGGTCAGCCCTGAGGCAGGCTCAGACCTGAACCTGTGGCTGCCCTGGCCCAGACTCTGTCCCGGGCACCTGTCCTCACCTAGGCGTCGCCCCGGAAGCTCTGCCCCCTTGTGGAACACCCTCTTGAGCAGCAGGCTCAAGTGACTGAAGATGATGAAGGGCGGTGCCAGCGAGGGGCGCTCATGGTACTCCACGATCAGGCTGTAGCGCTGTGATTTCCAGAACATGTCGGCGTTGCCCTGCACCACCTGGAAGGTGTAGCTGCGGGGATGTGAGAGCAGTGTTGAGGGGAGTGGGCCCTGCTGCTGCCTGCAGGCTCACATCCACCAGCTCTGCTTGGCCCAGCGGGCTGTGCCGGGAGTGGGGTTCATTCCTCCAGTGGCCGGCTCTGCTGTTCTCTCCTGGGCTACCTGGTCTCCCGCACGCCTCACACCTGCCTCTCTCCAGCAGCTACCTGTATGCCCTCGGGCATCCCAGGGGGGCGGGCCCACCTCTTTACCTGTCTGCACCAGGCCAGAGGGTTCATGGCCCCTGGAGGGGATGGGAAAGGGGCCAGAGCAGTTGTGACTGAGGGCCCCACGGTAACAGCATCTATGTGGTGCTGGGGGTCAGTGGGCGGGCACCTGAACATGGCGATGAGCAAGTTCATGAGCAGAACGTTGGTGACCAGCAGGAAGGTGACCAAGAGCAAGATGACCAGCCAGTTGGCGTAGAGGTTGGGGCAGGAAGGTGAACCCCCCAGCATCTGGGGGTGAGCGGAGCAGTTCACTCGGGCTTCTGAAAGACAGGGACACAGCAGAGCCTGTCCAGCGGGCTGCGACCAGGGTGACAGCCCTCCAGCACAGGG